ATTTTTTTATTTTCAAACTATTTGTAACTGCACCTACATGAGAAAAAAAAATTTTTTATTTATATGCATTAGTTGTGGCATAATTCAAATTTTAATATGTTAGGATTTGCAATGATCGATAAGCGGTCAGATATTTTTTGGAGGGGAGTGTATTTTTTAAATAAAAAAAAAATTTGAATTTACTTACTTGTAGCTGGAGTTAGAGGCAATTGGATACTTATGACCGCTACTGTATATTAATATTATATTGCAAATGCAAGATAAGAATTACATTATAATATTGTAGAAAAAGATACAAATGAAATAGTACAAATAGTTAAAAATTCATTGATCGAAAGTTATGAAGAATAGGAAATAAGTGATGATAAAGCTCAAGTATTATCCAAATTAAATGAATCTGTGATAGTTGATAATTGTAAAACAATTGAAAAATTAAATATAATATCAGAATTTAATTTGGAATTGATAGTTATTATAGATTATGTTAATATTTCACATTATAAAAAAGATCAGGTTATTTCTGATAATGAAGATCAGAAAGAATTTAATATAGAAGATATTGTATGTGATATTATATCTTGAGAAAAATATATATACGTGAAACTTTTTTTATTTCATTTTTTTTTTGATATAAATAAGCATTTTTATTTATTTTTTTTATATAAAGTATCTTTTTCAGTTGGGTAAATAGATAGAAAGGTAGTATAAAGGTGATTAAAAAATAAAGTTTTTAGCAATTTTAAATACTTTTTCTTTAATAAAAACATTTAATTTTTCTTTAATTATCAAATTAAAATGTTTATTTGAAAATTTATTTTTAAAAAGTTTATAAAAGAAAAAAAAAAATAGTAATTTTTTTTTTTTTTAATCTTTTTCTCTTCTTTGATTTTCCTATTAGAACTTGCTATTAAACCTTAAGACTGATGATTTTCGTCATCTACAAAAGATAAGTTTTTTTTAATTTAATTATTATTTTTTTTTCTAATTTTTCCTTCCTTTAATTTTCTATTAAAACTTACCTTTGATCTGAATTTGGTGATTTCCGTCATTTACAAAAGATAAGTTTTTTTAATTAATTTTTTTTTTATTTTTCTAATTTCACTTTTCCTCTTCTGATTTTCTATTAGAACTTACTTTTGGTCTAAATTGCTGATTTCCATCATCTACAAAAGATAAGTTTTTTTAATTAAATTTATTATTTTTTTTTTTTTTCTAATTATATTTTTCTGTCATCTACAAAAGATAAGTTTTTTTAATTTATTTTTTCTAATTTCACTTTCTTTCCTCTAATTTTTTATTAAAACTTACCTTTGATCTGAATTTGGTGATTTTCGTCATTTACAAAAGGTAAGTTTTTTAATTAAATTTATTATTTTTTTTATTTTTTTTAATTACATTTTTCCTTCTCTGATTTTTTATTAGAACTAACCTTTAATCTGAATTTGGTGATTTCCTTTATCTACAAAAGGTAAGTTTTTTAATTAAATTTATTATTTATTTTTATTTTTTTTAATTTTACTTTCCCTCTTTTGATTTTCTATTAGAACTTACTTTTAGTCTAAATTGCTGATTTCTATTATTTACAAAAGGTAAGTTTTTTAATTAAATTTATTATTTTTTTTTTATTTTTTCTAATTTCACTTTCTTTTTTCAGATTTTTTATTAGAACTTACCTTTGGTTTAAATTTGCTGATTTTCGTCATCTACAAAAGTAAGTTTTTTTTAATTTAATTATTATTTTTTTTTTTAATTTCACTTTTCCTTCTCTGATTTTCTATTAGGAACTTACCTTTGATCTAAATTGTTGATTTTTGTCATCTACAAAAGGTAAGCTTTTTTAATCAAAATTTTTTTAATAAAAAAAAGAAAACTAATTATCTCATTTTGTAGGATCCAACATTCTTCTTGATTGAATTCTTAATGATAGTAAAAGTCTTTATATTTAATTAAATATAAATTTTTATAGAAGGTATAAAGTGAGTATTAGTTAATGTTTTTTTTATTTTTATTTTAAAAATAATCCTCTACTTATCTTTTTGTTAGAATTTGAAGAACTTTCAAGGCTTAAAATAGAAGATAAATTTCTATAGAAGGAAAATAGAAGCATTAGTTAAAATCTTTTTTTATATATAATAAAAAAATTTTCTGGTACCCTTCAGACACCCTTCTTAGGCCTTTTTTTTTTATCATTTTTTTTTTATCATTTTTATTTTTATTATTATTATTTTTTTATTTTGTTTTATTATATTATGTAATATTCTTTTGATTATTTAAAACTATATAAAATTACAAAGCATAAATCTTTTATAAATAATAATAATAATTTATATAAATCATATAAGTCATATAATGTTATATGCTAATACTGATATATATTGTATATTTAAATAAAATGTTATATAATTATGTATTCTTTATTTATGTTAAAAGTTGCAACTATCATAATAGTTGTAATTAAAATAAAAGTTGCAACTATTATAAAAGTTACAATTATAATAAAAGATGCAATTATTATAAAAGTTGCAACTTTAAATTAGTTGCAATTTAGTTAAATTTTTAAAAAGTTGTAATTAGTAATTATAACTTATGAGTTGCAATTTTTTAATTACAATATCAACTTTAGTCTAGATAAAATTCTAGGATTTCCATTTTCTAATATAATAATCTTTTTTTTACTTTATATTTTTTTATCTCTTAATTTATAAAGATTCATAAATAAATTTGCCTACTTATTTATTATAAATTTCCTTTTGATTTACTTTTATAAAAATTAAAATTTTTTTAAAAAATTTTTATTAAATTAATTTATAAATATATATTATACAGTAATTTTTATTTTAATAAATAATTTAAAGTTACTTATAAACTAAAATTGTTATTTTTAAAAAATTTTTTATTAACCTTTGATAATTTTATTAATCTTTATTTTTAGTAATATTAATCATAATAAAATATTATAAAATTTATCATGAAAATAACTTTAATATATTTATTAAATTTTTATTAGTAGTAACATGATTTAATTAATTTGCAAATATATGTATTTAAAGAAATTTTTAATAATAAATTTTAAAACTTAATTTTAAAATTGAATTATTTAAAAATCTTCTTAATAAACTTAAAATTTCTTCTAATAAAGTTGTTAAACTGTATTTTCATATAATTATTATATTACTAAAAATATTTTATTAAAAAATTTACACTTATTTTTTAAGTGTGTAAACAAATTACCTGCTAAACAGTCTAAAGGATAAATATTTTCTATATATAATATTAATTTTTTTACTTTAAATATTTATTTAAATCAACCCTATTTTTTTTTTTTATATTATAATTAAATGAAAAATTAAGTGCTAAATTTAAAGGATTGATTATATAAAGTATTAACTTAAAAATATACAATATAATTAAATTATTCAAAAAAATTTAATAATATACTATATTGGCCAACGGTAAATCGTTGACATCATATATACATATGTTACAATTATTCCCAGTATTAATTAATGCAATAATAAAATAATAATAAATTTTAATAAATTCTAACGATAATAGTTCTTTCAATATAAGTAAATTGATAATTTGTTTAACAATTGATAATACTAATGAATGACTAACTAATGCAATAAATGATAAGATAATAAATTACCGAATTAACATATTCCAGTATCTATATACTAAATTATATTTTACAAATTGCAATTGAATACTCTGCTCGCTAATATGAAACCTTATGGTTATTCATATTTTACGATATAATTTTGGCGCTATAAATCTCCGAAAATTCATATACATCGCATATCTGAATTTTATTGACAATATCCAACTCGTACTATTTGGTAGTTGGGGTATTTTCAACAAACTTCTACCTATATTGACAGGACCACGTAATTAATGATGTATGTTCATCTCACAAAGACGAGACGTACCTGCCCTAGGTATTCCAGAAAAATAGACCAACTTAACAAATGATCGCTTTATGGTATAAATAATATAGGGATTAACCGAAAATCGCATTGCATATTCCTTTTTCTTCTAAAAAAAAAAAAAAATATTACACTAGTATTTATGATAGCTGAAAAATATTATTGAAATATATATATAATGTATAAACACATTTGTTATGATAATTACAGTGCATTTATCAAGATGTAAAAAAAGAAGGGTGATGTGGAATGAAATATAATATAGACGCAAAGAAAAAATTAAGGAAAAAATTCAAAACAAACAATACATGTCCTTATATGCGTATGAAACCTAACGGCCACCAAGACCTCCTCTCCTTTCAATTTCCTCCAAAGTCATCATCCCACGTTGCTGCATATTCGTGTTATTTGGAATACCTAAATCAAAAAAAAATGACAAAAAAAAAAATATATTAATATATATATATGTATATATATTTTAAAAAAGTTGATTTTTTTACATTTAAAAATATAGTACCGGGTATGGTATGTGGTGCAATTGCATTGTTTACAAGATTTGGAATAAATTGTGCATATCCATGCATATTTGCGAAAAGAGCCTCCGTACCAGGAGGTAACAATCCAGGATGATGATGTACAGAAATATGTTGTGGTGGTATTGGCGGAGGTCCAGAAAATTGAAGTTGCTGTGGATAACGATCATGTTGATAACCAAATGGTATTTGAGGGGGCATGGAAGATGTCAATGGAGGCTGTTGGAATTGGGGGTGAATTTGTTGAGGAATATTACGTGGAGGTTGTGGTATCATATTAAACAATTGATCCACGGGTATGTTGCGACCGACAGGAAGAGGAAATTCTTGTCGATGATGAGAATGTTGAGGATTATTTTGTCCATTGGAATAAGGTGGAACTATATTATGATATTGTGAAGGGTTTTGACTTTGAGAAATGATAGGAGAACGAGGGGAAGATGTTTTATAAACCGATGCGTGAAGATCAGGAACAATTGCCGAAGATTGTGGCGAGTGTGGAAAGTTGGAAATATTTGGTTTGGGATTGAATTTCAAAGCCGGTGAAGAAGCAGTAGATGATTCTCTGGAACTATTATCTGACCTTGAACTCAATTGACGATAAACAGAAGTTGGAACATTTCCTCCAAAAAGCATATTGACCTTCTTAACAGGATCATTTGGAGCTAACTCAGAAATACCAAGATGTCGATTAGACATATCAACCTTTTGTGGTGGTATATTAGTTTTGTTAATAGTGGTTGGTTTTTGAGCACTGATTATAGAAGGATCATTGAAAGGTAATCCTGAATTTGTAATCGCTGAATGTTGAAATTGTACAGACTGATGTGAAGAAGATATGGGCACATTATGTGACAGCTGACTTGGTAAATCCGAAGTCGACTAAATTTTAGAATTATCAAATTAATTATAAAGAATAACAATAAAATAAAATAAAATAATGAGGTAAAAATAACGTACGGGGCCTTTCTTTAAAGCTGCATATATTTTAAACATAGCGGCTTCGTCTTCAGAATTTCGTTCCTTTAGTTCAGGTTTTAAAGGAGGCTTGGCTCCTAAAGTTTGTAAAACCTCCTCTTCAGTGAGCATTCCAGGAAGGATCCGTATTCCTTCACTTGGTGCAATGCGGGGAGAAATAGATGCTGTAGTAGATGGTGTGGCGACTTGACTTTGAAATAGAGTATCAAGACTAATCGGACCAGGTTTTAACATTTCGTTTGATACCGGAAGATTCTGAGGAGACACTTGAAATGTGGATGGTCTTTCCATATGGTCATTTTCTTGAATATTTTCCTCGGTACTATGAGAGAAAAATCTGGCAAAGCGAGATGTCCCTTGCTCTCGAGGAATTGTTGTCTCTATATGCGATCCAGTTCCGGTTTTAGGTCCATTGTCTTCGGTCATAGCAAGTTCGTGCTGAAAAAGAAATTTATTAAAAGCCGATGAACCTGAGTGTTCCTTTACATTCAACTCCATTCCGCCAGGGCCAAATAGTTGGTCCACATCGGCCAAATTTAATGATGGTGAAGAATCTAAATTTCAAACGATAACGTACTCAAATGTTGTAGTTAATCCATAAATAAATGACAAGAATTACACAAACATTCATAGTATAAATACAAATCTAGATAATTACCATCGAAATTCGTTGAATTTTTTTCCTTCGATCCTTCCTGTACAATTTCTTTAACTTTATTATTTGAAGCGTTATTAGTTTCTTCAGTCGGCACAGTTTTATTTCCTGGCCTCCATGATATACTACTATCGGCTCGCGAAATACTCCGCGCTCGACCTTTTTCTGATGTTTCTTTTCGCTCTTTAGTCTTTTCCTTCTCATTCCGTTCTCGTTGTTCTCTATCCTTTTCTTTCATCTGTACCTTCCAGGCTTGAAGGTCAAACATAGTTTTATCACTAGTTTCACCGTTGTCAAAGTGTTTTGTATCTTCATCAGTCTGCGGATTATAATTCATCCATTCAGGAGTTTCCCTATCCTCCACATGCTGATATCTTGAAATATTTCTTCCAGAATGTTCTTTTCCTCCAATGCCTAAATATAATGGAAAGTGTTTAATAAGATTCAGCACAAAGCTAATGGAAATAATCGTCTTTACCTTCTCGGCGAATACTTCTACTTGTATCATGAGACCGCAAGTTTCCAAATCCACGACCATGTGTTCCGTGAGTATGTCCAACTGATTCTTTCGTTGTCTTTTCTGTCAAAGTACGGTGTTCTCGTAATGCCTCTCTACCAATGAAACCGCGACCACCAGATGGTCCACGTGGTGCTCGTGGTTCATAGTCTTTTCCAGTTCGCATATATGAAAGGTCTTCTACTACCTACAATTTTAATATCAAACAATTGATTCAATATTGAAATGCCATCTAATAGTCTTAAGCCAATATAACACTCACTTGACGTTGTCGCATTCCATCTGATCTACCGGTCCTTGATGGTGCCGTTTTTTCCTCCACAACTTTTAATCCTCCAACTGATGATGAAGCAAAGTTCCATTTTGGTGGTCCAAGAACAATTTTATCTATAATTGAATTATATTTAAAATGTTAGATAAATACTAAGAAATAGAAATCGAATTAAATATTCGCACCTGATGGCTTAGGAGATGTAGGTGCAGATCCATTAGGACTTTTTGAAACTCCTAGTAAAGGACTCTTTGGAATTCCTAATGAATCATCTTTTGGTTTATTTAATTCTGATCCAAGCGCATTATTATTTTTACTAACGTATATAAACACAAATAAGAATCGGTCAAAATTTAAATAATATAGTAAATAATATAGTATAACTATTATAATGATTTAGATTACCTCTTGTCGGTCTCCACAGCTCCATCAGCACCAACTTTCTTTTCTTTCTTTGTTTGTTCCCTATAAAAAGGGCGAATTTGAATTAATACAAGTAATTAAAAACTTTTAAAAATCTATAAATAACAGTTAATTGTATATTAAAGTTACGATTAATTAATTAAAAAATAATAAACCTACCCAAACCAAACACTGATTGGAGGTAAAGCATCTGGTTTTTTTACAAGTGGACTATCGCGTAATGCCAGTAACTGTACTTTTGTATAGCGTAATACAGACTTTGCCTCTTTTTTCTTTTCCTCATTTTTCGCGTCATCAGGATCTTTTTTGTTATCTAATTCTACTACAGGCGTCTGGATGTTTATGTCTGACTTTGGTGAATCAGCAGATGTTTGATTGCTGGACCCATTTGAATCAAGTTTACTGTCTTCAACGTCAGGCATCTGAAATTCTCCCAGAAATAGAAAAAGGAATGTTTAATTTACGATAAGCAAAGTCGTTTAATTCGGTTTGTTTTCCTGTCACCGTCACAGACGAATTTGACAGATCTTTAGATTATTCAAGGATTTATGTTTTGTAAAAGTATATATTAAAAAAGGTATATTTTTTAATTAGATTTGAAAGTATATGAGTCCAACGATTTGAAGAAATGTATTAGTTGCACCTGCAAAAGTAAAAGAAATAGATGTATGTTTTCTCGGTGTTATGAGAACTTTAGCTTTCAGCCCTTCAAGTTTAACATGCCTAATAACAACGTCACAAGATTTATATAAACGTGACTCTAAATCAACTTGAACAAATTATATTATGTAATCCGGGATGTTGATCTTTTTTTGACTATTTTGGTGTGTTTTATTATTTTTAATTTTTATCTTTACTTTTATTTATTTATTATATATATATTTTTTTTTCTATAATATATATGTATAGTAGCAACAGGGATGCGACGTGGTATTCTTTCGCCGGTGCCAAAAAAAAAAAAAAAAAAAAAAATAAGAAAAATCAAATTATAAGGGCATCCGTATACCAAGAATTTCGTTCCACGGCACACCTGTTATATGGTAGCAATTTTATTCGAAAGTTACTGGGCCTTGCGATTGAGAGTTTATCCTATAACTACAGTCAACAAAAGATACAATAAAAACCAAAAGGACAAAATGAAGTGAAATAAAAAAAAAAGAAATGAAGTATAAAAAAATTAACTTCTCTTGCAACCCTTTGTGTATGTATGAATGATATCATAATGATAGCTTCGCGCAGTGGTAATTTTCATATAAACTACTGTATAAAGAATAAATTCAACATGCCACACATGAGAAAACGGGTTTATAGTACAATGACACACAAATATGAACAAATTACTCTTGCATCGCCTTCTCAACGGTGCGACCCGGACGCACATAGAATGCAAAGACTTCCCCTTCATATGATGGCAAGTCGTTATTTCCTTCCTATGAAAACACCTAAAAACTATCCACAAATAATAATCGATCAGTCTGATTAAAGCTAAAGAAATAAATGAAAATTGTCCGAGTATAATAAAGTAGGTATCATAAATTTGCGGCTTTAGGAAACCGAACGTTATAAAACATATCGAGAATGAAAACTGCCGAGATTTGATTTCCTCCAAACCATCGGCCATTAAGACCGTTCACTGCAGCCTGAGCGGACGACACGCTGTCGAATTTCATGTAAATATCTCCCTTAAAATATTTATATTCATTTAGAACCAAGTAATCATGTTAATCAAATAAACAAATATGTTTAGAAATACTTACTGCAGACTCTCTATCAACAGAGATATGAACAACAGGTCCGTATTTTACACATTCACCTTTCACATCTTCCTCGAGCTCTTCAGCCCAGTTTGACTCAGTTTCCCTAAAGGATCATAACAGTTTAAAATAAGATTTTGATATTTGCCAATTAAAAAAGAACTAAACTTAAACTTACTCTTCAGGATTGAACATATTCTTTAACAAGACATTACGAGTTGGATTTACTCTAGGTTGAACTGGGCGCGGACTACAATTAAAAAAATTTAAAAGCAAATTAACACATTTTCCATCACAAGAAAAAAAAAAATTAAAGACATAATGTATGAATTACTGACGGTTCTGGTTGAACAGGAGTTGCGGCAGGAGCGATTAAATCTGTATCTCGCGCTAACTTTTGCATTAATTCTACTCGTGATTGTGCATTTAGAGCTAAACCAGCAACATCTTTGACAAATAACAAAATCCTTATTTTATCATGTACACTCGTTTCAAAATAAATTCAAAAAATAATATATAAAAACACAAACCACCATCATCAAGGTTTAAATTCATGCCGTTGCTTTTGTCAGTAACAAGACCCACTTTGATCTTTTTTTTTATTTTTAAAAAAAAAGTTTAATGATTAAATTCGCAAAATAAATAATCCATAAATAAACCTTTTAATGACTTACGGTTCTTCCAGCCAACTCAAATCCATTCATTTTTTCTAATGCTTGTTTTGCATCCTCCGGATTTTTATATCTGTTATATTGATTTATTAATTAATAAACAAATTCTAAATACAAGCAAACACAGAGGAATTAAAAATTTTCTTACTGTATGAAAGCAAAACCTCGTGATCGACCTGTTTCGGGATCTTTATGAAGATTTACAAATTCCAAGGGTCCAAATGGTTCAAAAACCTGTCTTAAATCATCTTCTGTCAGATTAAAGTGAACTGATCCAACATAAAGTCTATGATATGCAATATCTGTTGCATGCGAGGCTCTAAATGTAATAAAATTAATTATTAAAATCATTTCAAATATTCTCAATATAATATAGCCTTTTGTATAAACTTACGCTTGTTCCGCCAATCTTGCCTGTCGATTTTTTTCCGCTTCGGTTAATTGAACAATAACTGGAATACCTAAGAGTTTTTGTCCGGTCAAAGCCAAAGCTTTAGGAACAGATTCTTCATCATAAAATTCAACATAACCAACCCTATAAAAAAATATACATATATTATTATAATTAAAGGAATATTGTATTATATTGTATTATATTGCCATTAAATACCCTTTTGACCTCCGAGATATTCTATCTGCAATTATTTTGGCATCACGAACTTTTCCAACAGTTGCAAAAAAATCAGCAAGTTCTCGAGAACGAAGACGTGCGGCCAGTTGCATAACAAAAACTGTACGTTTGTCACGTTCCTCTTCATCTAAAGGAGGAGTTGGTGACCTTCGGCGTCGCTCACTAGAATAAAAATATATATATATATATCAATATAAATTTAAAATATATTATTTTAGAATAGAGCTTGGAAAGACACCTTCGACTGCGACTTCTTCTACGTGGACTACGGCTTCTCCTTCTTCTTTCACGAGAACGAGTTCGACTCCTTCGTCGTCTTTCACGCGACCTGGACTTACTCCGACGCTTTCTATGTACTCGTGATCTAGAGCGTGATCTACGTGAACGACGAGACCTAGATTGTGATCTCTGACGATGACTAGAAGTACGTGAAGAACTTCGGTGACGTCGTCGTTCTTCACTGTTAAAAAGAGATGTTAAAGATATTTGTTAAACTAAAACTAAAAAGAAACTTGCTTAATTACCTTTTTCTATCTTCCTTGTGATGTTTTTCAGTTTTACCGTTAATTGCGTTGATCTCATTATTTTCCTATGAAAAACTTGTTAAAATTTTGGAATAAATAATGAATAACTAATAATTTAGAAACAAAATTCTACCTGGCCTTTACGAAAAGGAGCCTCTAGCATAGCTTCAACATCAAGATCATCGGTCATTTTGATTTCGGTCTTCAATTTTTTAAATTTCTATCAGCTTTAATATGGGTGGCTTATTAATTTATATTAAAGTTGGACGAACCGTGTAACAATACAATTCTCCAATCAAAAATTGATTCTGATTTTTTTTTTTTTTTTGATTATGTATTTTATTTATTTATTTTGATATGTAAAAGACATGTTTAGCATAGGCGGACGAATGGTAAAGGGTAATTTATTTAATTTATTTAATTTAAAATTTTAATATTATAAATTTTATAATCTAATATTTAAAGTTTAAAATTTTTTAAAAAATACATTTAATAATTTAATTCAAAAATACTTGTTAAAATAATTATCCAAGTATAATTATATTATTATAATAAATAGTAAAATACATTTTTGATATCTATAGATTTGCTATTCTAGTTATATAATCTAATTATCTATTTATTTTATTTAAAGATAGACCAATTCAATTCAATTAGATTTCAGTTATATAAATTTAATTTTAATAGAATCTAAACCAGTTCTTTTATTTAATTTTATAGGATCATAAATAATTATATTATAAAATATATTTTTAATATATTTAAAATATCACATTATATAAATAAATACTTTTTCTTCATAATCATTAAATGATTCAAATGATTCAAATGATATAATTATTAAAAAGAACTTAAAAATTTTTTATTATATTATTATTTAAATATTTTTTTTTATTACTAAATTTATATATTTTATTTTATTAATATAAAATTACAGTTATTGAAATCTATTATAATTAAAAACTAATTATATAGATACTTTGCAATAGAAAGAAAGAAAATTATGCCAAAATCTAAAAATAAGTTTTGATTAGAATCGAGTAGATTTCAGTATAGACTACATTTTTCAATTATAAATAGAAATTGATTTGCATAATAAAAAATTGAGATAAAACGAGTTAAAGCAAATGTTACAATAAAATGATCTGCATCCAAAAATAGTAAGAAGTTGATAAAATCTAAAAATAGCATAGATTTTTCTTTGCAGTAGAAAGGAAAGAAACTTTAATTTTGTTACTAACTAATTTTATCACTTCATATACTACTAAAAGCGAGACTTTTGAGATTAACAATAGTTTTTTTTTTTAATTGATAAACATATACCACTAAAGTAATAAAATAGAATTATTTTTAACTTTTGTAGGATAATAATGACAGAACTTAAAGATTTGAAGGTAAATTAGTTTTTTTATTTCATTTTTTCTTTTAATTAATTTAAACTTATATTGTAAAAGTAATAAATGAGTTTTTTTATTTTTGTAAGAATTAGTAACAGAACTTAGAGATTTGAACAAGTAAGTCTTTTTTTTTTTTTTTAATTTACTTAAACGTTTCTAATGAAAAGTTTTTCTTTTTTATAGGGACAATGCTGATCTGACGAAACTGAATTTTATGGACAAGCCAATAGAATAGAGAATTTTTTATTTTAATTAAGAATATTTCTAACTCTTTTTTCTTTTTTTCTTCATTTATATGAAGTAAAAACAATGTTAACTTCTTATAAATAGATGAAAGCAGACCTTATTTATAAATAAAGAATAAGGTAAACAGAATTTTTATTCTTATTAGTTTTGATAATGTTTTTATTATTTCTTTGCTAATTTTATTTTATTTTATAAGTTTCACTTTATAGACTTTAGATTGGACTTTCTTGATTCTTTAGGCTAATAGATAAGTGTTTTGGCATTATTGCTATTGTAACAGGATTGGATTGACGAACGTGGCGCAGCATATTGCAGATCTAAATGTCAGACATATTTGATATATTTG